TCTTGTTCGAGCAACTGCATGAGGTCGTCAAGCATACGGCCGACACGCGACTCCGCGTCGAGGACCTTCGTGTCGAAACGTATGGCACTAGAGAGCCGCCTCTTCAGGACGTCCAAGTCTTGCGGATCTTGATCGAATGCCGCGTGGTACCAGTCCACCCATTTCGCTTCCGTGACATCGTTGTGGTCTTTGTTCATGTCGAACAAAGTAATACGCCGCTTGGAAAAAGGGTCCATGCACGGGCGAGAACCCACACATTGCAGCGCATTGATTTGCGCCAAGTACTTCTGGTACTCGCGCATGAACGCACGCCACTCCGCCTTCATAGAACCCTCGAACAGAGGGGTCTGAGGAATAGCAGGCGCGTTCCAATCTTGACGCACGAAACCGTCGTCGTCACCCATGTTAACGTCTTCCATGGGACTATCTTGAGCAGCCTCATTGGCGGCGGCGGCACCTGCCGCGCGCGTCGATTTGGCTTGATCGGCGCCCATCGCGAAAGCTTCTTCAGGTCGCTCCGCTGGTAGAGGCGGGCCGCCATAAGGTGCGGGACTGATCGGGTACCCTTCGCCTTGGCGAAACCACGCGTCCGCGGAAAGAGGAGCTCGTCGTCCCGGGAATCGAAATGGGTTGGCCACTTCGCGCCGGACGGGGCGGCCACGTGGCTGCTCGCCACGTTCACGTGAACGCGAGCGGTCTTCGCCGACCGTACGGTCAACGATGTCTTCGTTGGGAGTACTGTCCCGAGCCATGTGGTCTTGATAGCTGATGTCGTCAACTAAAGATATCTTTGTTCGCCGCCCCGCGCTTTCCGACGCAGGGACCTCACGTGAGGCTTGCAACTACAAAACTGACATTAGACTTAGGCCACGACACGTGGCCCCTACTGACTAGCATCCGCTAAGGTACATTTCTTTCTCAACTAGGATCCCTACGTACATGCACACCACAGCAGACCTACTGTACTGTAGGACTTGCAGCGGGACAAACCCTTGGGCGACCCATGCTGCTCTGCTCAGCAGTACACTGTTGTCGAGTTCTGCGGGAGCCACTGCCGGCCAAAGTCAACCCAGTAAAACGTGTCGAAATCCACGGCATGCACCAGGGATGGGGCCGTCCAGGTCTGTGAAGGCCACCCCGAGTTTGGACAACGCCTGCAATTGCATGACGGAGCTGAACAGGCTCATGCTCATGCAGTGGTAGTCATGAGCTTGGAATTACGATGTACGTGCTGCGGCTGTCCACCGCGGCTCATCAAGGCGGACCGCTAACCTGCATCAAGCTGGTCGTTGAATGTTGCTTTGCTTCGTTCAACGCGGTTTCCGACCGCGAACCCTTTCGAGGCAACAGGCAAATTAAACACTGGTATTCAAGAGGGGCCTGCTCTAATGACTACTGTTCAGTGACGTAACCACTTCACAGGCTAAGTACTCCTTGAGCGTCAACTTTGTAATTGTATGCAGACGAGCAACCAATCAGACTGCTCGGTGCACAAATCCACACAAGTGGATTTTCCAACTCAGCGGGGCAAACACACGAGCGATCCAGGCTGCTCTGCCACGCAGAACACTTCCCTCTCTACGCAGGCCCACGCTCTTCATCATAGCACCCACAGTACGTTCTTGCTTCTTAGACTCGCCCACTTGCGAGACACTACTGGGATGTCTTCCAATAGGTTTTGGGCCGGCTCCCACGACGATTCGTCTTCCTCAAGGCCCAACCATTTGACCAAGACTTGGAAGATGCCGTCCGCGACCTTTCACACCTTTTCGAGCCGTTCAACATCGAAGCCACCATCGCCAAACGCAATTTGGTCGACCAGATCTTCGGTGACTTCCTGTCCTCCTTCGTGATACATCTTGAGGCGACATGCATGGTGCGTAGATACAGCAAAGGGAGGAATTAACTCTTGCACTTCCATAACAAAATCCGTAACAACCCGAAGGACTTGAAATGGATCGCGCCACATGATGGCTAACTTTGGGGGATTCTGGACAATAGAACCATCCAACACAAAATTGCCGATGGTAAAGTTGGCAAGCATGACCTGCGCTTCCTTGTTTCGTCTTTGGCGTGCTTGTGTAGACGGAGTTTCTCGGCACGTTCGGCCACATCATGATGCAAATATTCCAACGCCGTCTTCAACTCAGCATATGCATAAGCTGACGCCGGTCTTCGTCAAGCCAGTCGACAACAAAGACATCCTTGGTCTTCGGATGTACGAATCCAGACATCGGCGTCTTCGCAGGGAGTCCCGTGAACGCCGTAACTGGAGCAACTCCACCGAGTCGATCAGCTGGTTGGTGGTTTAGCGCACCTTGCACAAGAGGAAGTACCAGCGGCCAATCGTCGACACGCAGCTTCATTTATGCCTTGACCGCACGCAACACGAGGTGGTTGACGACTTCAATTGTGCCATTGGTCCAGGGCTGTAAGCCGTCGTAATGTGGTGGTGCGCACCATCCATTTTACGAATCTTCTCGATGACTTCGTTTTTGAAATGTGAACCGCCGTCGGTGACCCACGTGTAGACGCATCTATACAACGTGAACCAGGACATTAACGCTGTTGCCGTCGCACTCGCGTCGGCAGTGTCGGAGGCATGCAGGTCGACAAATCCGCTCATGTCATCCTTGATAACCAGGACGTATGCGGTCCCGTTCTTCGACTTCGGCATCGTCAACCAGTCAAA